TCCTTAGAGAAGGAAATCCCCAGCCTGATCATACCAAAATTGAATGAGTGGAACAGACTGGTCAATTAGGGATGTAACAATAACTCTTGGGAGATCTAATTTTAGCTTAGATCAAAACAGATTGCTACCTCATAATCTTCCTGCTTTATATAGGAAAGGAATTATGAGTCAATTTCTGGTAGTTCACTTTAACATCTACTGACATGCCACCAATATTGCTTTTAATCACTGTATAACTCCCTTTTTTACATTCCCCTTGCCTCCTATCTTCTGCACAGGTAACAATAAGTTACTGCATTAACACATTTCTTCTTATTTATCCAAAATCTCAGGTAGCAGAGAGAGATGATATTCTGAGTAGAAGTTATTTCTACCACATGGAAGAGAATTTTTTCATGTGTCTAAGATGATTTATACATGATTATATATATATATATGGTTTATATATGCTGAGATATGTGACATATATAGGCACAAATACACACATATATACTTTTACATATATACACATATATGTATAAATATACATATATGTAGATAATATTAATCAGTAGATTTTAAAGGGATTTTACATTTTAATATGGTGACCCTATAAATGTACACAAAGAAAAATAACTGAAGCAGATATGTCTCAAGATTCTTATTTATGGATGAAAATAAATCATCTAACAACTAACACTGATGCCGATGAGCTAACAAGAGGCAATTTAACAGATGAGGAGATGCTAACTGTAGCAAGGAAGATGAATCTAGAAGCCAGGAGGCAAATGAGAAAGATGTCACCATGTGCATACAATTGAAATGATTTTTTTCCACAACAATGAAATGATATCCCAAAATTCTGCACTGCAAATGACAACTAAAATAACACCTATCAGAATCAGGGAGTCATTAATTCTGAATCAAAAAAGCAAAATGAGAAACACATGAACTCTTGCCTTTAAAATAGTAATTTGTGTCTTAAAATATTACTAGCTTAAATATAGCATTTTAATTTACTGACCTGTATTTAATCGAAAATATTACTTTCAAATTAGCTTTATACCTGTTAGAAATCCATTTGGTTCCGTTTCTCTCATTGAGTTCACTGTGACATCATCACTGTACCCTCTTAGGTACAATGAATAGCCAGACATGCTTCTGATTACCTCTTTCATTTTCTGCCATCCTACTATGAGTATAGGATCAGTGACACATCAGCAATATCCAATTGACACATTTTATTAATATTTGATTCAGAATGCATCTACATAAAATCACTTCCTGAGGTGCCTTCTGGGCAACCCACTGGTATCTCGACCTTCTGCTTAACGAGAAAAATATTAAACTCAAGACTATTACTATCAGGAGGAGTTATTAGGTACTGCTATTGAATTGAGAAAAATTGTTTTATACAAACATTTGATGTTTTAGGGACAAAGAGAAAGATAATGGAAGTTGCTGTTCAATACATTGGAAAAATATCTAAATAATTAAAAAGGCTTGAAATTATACTAAACTAAAAGAGAAAATGTGACAAAAAGAAAGTTACAAATGTGTTGAACTTTGTAAAGCTATAGGGAAGCCACTGGAGGGTTTCATTTAGAGGAATAATATGATCCAACCCACATTTCAACAGCACTACTCTAGCTGCTGTATTGCGAACACACTGAACAGTTGGCAGGTTACTGCAATAATCCTGGTGAAAGAAGAGGGTGGTAGTGGATGAGTGAAAGTGGTTTATTTCGGATAAGTAGAGTCAAGAGTATATGATGACAGATTAGATGTGGGGTCTGATGACAGGAGTAAAAAAATGCCTTCAGGTTTATTGTCTAAAGAAGTTAGAGCACAAAGTTGCCATTTCTGAAACGAGCAACAATACCAAAGGGATTGATTTTGAGGGAGTATCAGAAGTTTATCTCAGACTTCAGATTGATATGCTTATTAACTCTCCTGGCAGAGGCTTCAAGTAGACATATATGAGAACCAAGTTCAGGGTAGAGATAGGGGTTAAAGATAGAAATCTGAGAGCCATCAGTATGCTGGACAGTATTCTAGTCATGAGACTAAATGAGTTCCTCCCAAGAGTAAGTACAACTGGAAAAAAAGAAGACAACTAAGAACTGAAGCCTGGGGCACTCCAAAGTTTAGAGGCTGGAGAGAGGTGAGAGATCCAATAAGAGACAATGAAAATGCAGGAGGAAAATCAGATAATGTATTTTCTGAAAGCCAAGTGAAGAAAGTGTTCCAAAAAAGAGGAAAGGATCAAAAATGCTAAGTGATAATGCTCTATCTAGGAGGATGAGGACTGAGATCTGACCCGTAGACTTAATCATGGTGGAATGATTAATCACGGTGAGAGTCTGATTAGCTTTCAAGTGGCTTCAAGAAAGAATGAAAAGAGGGTAACTGGGATACCAAGATTAGACAATTCCTTCAAGGAATTCTGCAGTAAAAGGACAGACATGGGATTGTAGTGAGGGAGGAATGAGTTCAAAAGAAAGTATTTTAAATGCAGAAGAATTAACTGCATTCTTGTTGGCTTATGGAAAATCTAGTGGAAATTCTCCCCGGCACCCTAAAGGAAATAAAGAATTAAGGAAGGAAGAAAGGAAGAAATGAAAGAAGAGAAGGGAGAGAGAGCATGAGAGGGAGGGGGGCGGAGAGAGAGAGAGAAAGAGAAAGAGAGACAGAGAGAGACAGAGAGAGAGAGAGAGAGAGAGAGAGAGAAAGAAGGAAAAGAGAACTGTTAGAAGCAATATTTTTGAGAAGAGGCCATAATGTAGTATACAAATGAAGAAGCTGGCTTCTGTAAGTAACAAAGACAATTTATCAATAGTGATAGAAAACCTAAATTGGCAAAGATGCAGCTGTGAGTTAATATGTATCAGGAGCACACTGAAACTTTTTCTATTTCTATTTCATCAGTAAAATAGGAAACAAAGTTATCACCTGACAGAAGGGATGGGAAGATGTGAGGACTATTTGACGAGAGATTTAAAAATAGTCATCTAAGAGACCAGGAAAGTAAACGAACCTGTGGCACACTGTATGACTGCCTGGCAGCATATGGGCCCACTGAGGTTAATAGCCATTCTGCAGTTATCTTCTGCACTAGACAGAGAAGCTATTATTCCCTTTTCAAATCACTTATAAAAATAGAGCAGGAAGTAAAAGTATACTCTTCTGAGCACGTATTCATAGGAATTGATAATATATATTTTTTTCTTCTCATAGAAGTGTCCATTTAATCTTACTTTTTGATTTCTGTCTAGCTTGTTCAGTTTAAAATAAGTCTTCTTTTTTTTTCTTTACCAAACCATTTTGAAAAAACAAATTATCAAATGTGGCAGTAACACAATAAAACTGATAATAAATCTGTTGTTAAAAAACTAATAAAGTGATATTTGTTTCCAAGAGAAACAGTAAAAACATTATATCGTAACAAGGAAAAGGGTTGAGGCACCAAGAATGGACCATGTCTTATCCATTATCTTATCTCCAATGCCTAGTGAAGCACCTGATAATCAATACTTGAGAAATGTATTAAATAAAGGAATGAGTGACCAAATAAATTACAAAACCTAAAACGAAAATGACAAACTATAATGACTGATTAAAAATTAATGTAGGAAAACATGAGAGTAAGAGATTGAAAACAGTTTGGGTTAAATGAAAGATAAGAATTAGTGAGAAAAGAGACCAGAATTATATTCTCAAGAGTCTCTTCTTGAAAAGTACTTAATATCATTCCAACTTTTCTAACAGCAATAGATTAGGTTACACAGAGAAAAATACAAAGGCAAAATTTGTAAAGTGTTTTATAAAGACAAATATTAAAACTAAAAGCTTCTTCATGCTTTTTCTCTTTCC